GTGGGATTAAACCTAAAAGCAACAAATGAACAGGACAAACAGAGACTCAAGGACATGGACTATAGACTAATGGTTATCAGAGCGTAGGAGTGAGAGGAGGGGTTAGGTAGATGGGGTAAAGGTGGTCAAATATGTGGTAACAGAAAGAAATCTAACTATGAGAGGTGAACACACAGTGTAAATATATATTAAAGTGTACAGATGAAATTTATTGGATTTTGTTAACCAATGTCAATTAATTAATTAAAAAATAATATAATGTTATTGAACAATTAAAAAAACAGTGAACTCAGTGATGCATTGTGTGTATGTGTATGTTTAAGTGATAGGAAGGATGGCAAAGTCTTTTAAATACTAGATAAAAATGATTTATAATTAGATAAAGACATTTTTTAAATTGGTTAAAAAAGAACTTCTGTATTTTAACATAATATAGGATTGTGTTTAGCATTTTATCCTTAAAAGATAAAAAGAATGTGAACATATGTACCAGTTTATGAAAATAATTTTTTAATGAAAATGTTTTCAATTCTTTTTTTAAATTTATTTTAAGCTATATAGTTCATAAAACGATGCCCCCAATTGCTCCCTCCCTCTCTTGACCCTCCACCTAGCCAAGATATTAATCCTTACTGCATTCCTTATGTATAGCTTCCATCATTTAATTATCAAAAATAATTCTATTGATGTAACTTGCCACTAGAATTTAATTTAAAAATCATCAACTGGACGTTTGTGTTTGTGTGTTTGTGGAGGAGTGAGCAATGAGGATTCCTTCCAATACTGTGGCCTTTTGGGTTTTGTATTTTCAGTAAATGTATATATACATCATCAGAAATGTATCTTCAATTAACTAAATTCTAGAGGCATGTTAAATCAATAGAATTATTTTCAATAATTAAATGATGGAACTTATACATATAGATTGCTTTCTCTTACTCCAGGAGAAATGTTAAGAAAATAAATTTATGACACAAAACTTTGAGTTCTTTCTTGTTGAATTACTGAGAGTGAATATATATATGATATAAAGAAAGGCTTTGATATAGTTTCCTCTTTAGGTCTTTAAGTGTCTTACAAGCCCTTGTAGGTGATCTCGCTCTCCACTCTTTCTGATCTCATTTTCTTCCATTCTCCTACTTCCTCATTGTGCATGTTTCTGCTCCAGGGCCTTTGCACTGATTATTCCCCTAGTCTGGCTCTTTCTCTTACCTCTTTCATTCTATGCTCTATTTCACCTTATCAGTGAGGTGTTTCTTGATTATCCTATATAAGGGATGATAAGGGAAATGAGATCCTCCAACTCCATATAAATCTCTCAGCCCCTTATTTTTTCATTGTTTTCCATAGTGCCTAATGCCATTCAACATATTATATTTTATGTATTTTATGCACATATGCATTTTTTATATGAATGTATATGTGTATGTAAGTATGTAGGTACATAGGTAGATAGGCAACTAGATAGTGTCCTCCATGATGCATACATCATGTTCTCCATGATGCAGAAACCTTGTATTCATCCCTGCTGCATCTCCAGAACCTCGGACAATGATGGTCATAAATTATGCTTAATAATGATTGAATAAGTAAACTAATAACTATTTTAATAATCTCAAGAGTCTGATTCTATCTTCAGTAGAAAGAACATCTCTTGATAGAGATGTAAAGATAATATTTTCCTTGTCTACTTTATGGAAACTCATGAAAATCTATGATACATATAATAAATTTAAAACTCTGAGGTAACATACAAGGATGGAAAAAGTGCATTACTGGTGATATAATAAATACTGAAAAAATATTTGACTCACATCTTTCAACTATAATAGAATCAATAATTATTTTAATTCCATCTCTTGCCCCTCTAGTATATCACTCTCTTAGCCTTTGTGCATGGGGTTTCTTTTGATTGTAACAACTTTTCTCTCTTCTTTTTTGTGGTAAATCTTACTAATTTTTTACTTAAATGCATAAAACAAAAACCATTTCCAAATTTCTCTAGGTAGAGATTCTCTCCTAGTTAGAAAATCTCTTTTCAGAGATTCTAAAAGTACCCTGTATTCACCTCTGTCATGGCTTTCAATGCACTTATTATATGGTTGACTATCTTCACTAGGCAAGTAATAATTAAAGTAAGTTTGTAATTTTGTCTTTTTAGCTTTATGGAATAAATGTGATAGTGGTATATATATAAATTAGTCTCCTTCCTTCTCCAATTCTGGTGCCTTAGAAATGGTTCAGTAATGTTGCAGATGGGACCCATAATCTTAAAGCATTGCTGAGTTTAAAAATCTTCACCACTAGAAAATATTGGGCTATAAACATACAGTTCCAGACAAAACATTTTCCTACAATCAAAAAAAGGAAGTAGAGACATTTTCAAGACTGTAAGCATGCCAGTGTTTATGACACACAGGGCATTGAATAGGGGATAACAAACTTTACCCTTGACCAAACAGTTTGTATACTGGCTATCCCAACTGTAAGTCTTCTGAAG